AGCAGGGAGGACTCTTAGGATCTTACTGCTCACTGGGAGGGAAGAGAGAGTTTTTTTAAAGGAATCCCTGGCCCGTTTGAAGGAAAGTGCTCAGCTGGGAAGCGCAGCGGTTAGAAACGCTGACATAACTCCGTCCACAGTCGGAATCGACTTTAGAGTTTCTGCCCTCAAGGAACAGGAGCCGGGGGGTTGCAAGCAGTTTGCGCTGGAGAAAGGTCTGGCGGTCTGCTTCCATCAGGATTACAGACAGGAGAACCCAGAGCTGGGGTCTGCTCTGTGTCACATGGGGTCTGGTCCCCAGGAGGCCAAATCGACGCAGCTGCAGTGCGTTTGGTTGGGACGCTCAGACGTCACAGCCAGCTGGGGGCGGCGAGTCATACACACAGAGGAGGGGGGTAAACATTAACTGAGGGCAACCAGCCCAGGCTTGGAGAGCCAGCAAAGCCTCCAGAGAGCAGGAGGCCACCGAGCTGCAAACGGAAGGGCCCAGAGGGGCGAAAGGCAAACCGGGAAGTAAAGCATTGCAGCAGCAGGAATGCCCTAAGCAAGGAGACAGGACCCAGGGGACACAGGCTGGGGTTATCAGTGGCCTTCAGGGGCTTGGACTTCAGGTCAGGGGTCAAGGGGAGCCTTGGGAGCATCTTAAACAGTGGTCCAGATATGTCTGCATTTGGGAGGAGATAGAAGGCTGGTGCTGGAGACCAGCTGGGAGGTGCCTGCAGCGATGGAGGGTAGCGAGGAGGGGAAGCAGGAGGTGGCAGCAGACAGAATTGTTGCTGTCCTGGGCCTCAAGTGTAAGGTGAACAGGCGTCCCGCTTTTGGTGGGACAGTTCCGATTTTTAACAATTTTCCCCCCGCATCCCGCGGCATTTTTTAAAAGTCCCGATTTTTTGAAAGAATGCACGACAAGCTAGGGTATACGGCTTTCGCCAAGATATGAGTTTTATCAGTGGTGTCCGGCTTTACCAATGTTAAAATCTGGTCACCTTACTCAAGTGGCCCCAGCCTCATGGAGGGGGCCCCATGCACAAGGGAAGAAAACGCTTGCTGATACAGCACCAACCCTATGATCACAGTCATTTAACTGCTAGGGTTTTTCCAGGCCGTGACCTGTCATATATCACATATCACACAATTCATATATCCTACAATCCAATAGTTCCATCACACTGATAGGGTTTTCGTCGTTGATTTTTGGAAATAGTTCACCAGGTCCCTCTTCCTAGTCCGTCTTAGTCTGGAAGCTCCGCTGAAACCTGTTCATCAGCCTCCATCACTCAAGTCTCCACTGACAGATGGAAGTGCATTGGCCAAGAATCAAACCCACGCCTTCGGCACGGAAGACAGGACTCCCAGACACCGCAGAATCAGCTCTGGAAGTTCTGTGGAACCAGAAAATCAAACTAAACCAAATTCACAGCTGTGGGGGCAATGCCAACTCTTAGCGGCCCTATAGGACGGGGTAAAACTTCCCCTGTGAGTTTCCAAGACTGACTCTTCAGGGAGCAGAAAGCCCCGTCTTTCTTCCAAGGAGCAGCTGGTGGTTTCGAACTGCTGGCCTTGTGGTTAACAGCCCAACTTGTAACCACTAGGCTACCAGACTTCCTCTTATCAAGAGGCAACCTACAAATAATGACAAAGCCACAAACGGGTTCCTTTCCCCAGGCCAGCAGCCCCTCAGACCATACCTCTCTAACCATACCCCTGACCCTTTCACCTTCTCCCGGGAGCCTTGAAAAGCAAAAAAGTTCCCGAAGCACCCAAGAGCCCTACAGTTTTATAACAAGAGCGCATGACACAAATTGCTACAGAGCGGAGAGAAGTCAGCCCTGGGACAGTTATTTAAGAATACATCAGGAGGTGGGTTATTTAGGGACTCAAATTACACAGGAGGGCCTGAGCAAGCCGACGTGTGCACAGCTACAATTAACGCTAACTATAAGGTGTCATTTCTGTCCCGAACACACAGCCTACAGCTTGAAGCGGCAGCCAGGGGAAGGGGAACTGGAGCCAAGGCCCCGGGAGGAAGCAGACGAGGGGAGGAGACCTCGTCTCCCAGGTGGCACTGGGTGGCCTCAGAAATGGCAAAGGTAACCGGGGTGCGGCCCCGCCCAGCTCCGGGAAACTCCAGACCAGGATCAGGGGAACAAGTGGAGGAACCGGGGTTTTCCTGGGGTGTTAACTTCTCATGGTGTATCTCTGCCACCCCCCTCCACCCTCAACAAAGTTACTTAACCCAACCTACAGGGCCTGCATCTGAAAGAAAGAAATGTTTCCCAGAAGGGGAGGAGGGACAAAGAGGTAAGGCCTGGACTATCAGCTGTAAGGTGGGCCATTTGAACCCCAGAGGCACCTGGGTAGACAGACCTGGTGAGCTGCTTCCAAAAGACTCCTACCTGGAAGACCCCATAAAGCAGCTCTATTCAGCACCCCCAGGGGCACCAAGGGAGAAACCAATAGAAAAGCTCTTGGGGACCCTCAGACACAAGCCATGGTGTGGTGAATGGGTGGGTGACCAGGGGATTGGACTGGGTGCTGAATGCCCCAGGGTTTCCCCCTGACCATCTCTGACACCTCGGCTTACTCATCTGCCATGCCTTCCACCAACTTCCTCCCCTGTCTGCAGACCCGCAGGTGTACACCCACCCCGCCTCCCAGGCTAAGTAGGTTACTGTGAGCAGAGGTGGCTTCGTAGCCCGCAAAGCCCCTGTGGGATGCCACCGTGGTACTTACCAGACACCCCTGCAAAGATGGCTGTGTGTGTGTGAATGACCAGCTGAAAACTCAGGTGGCCGCCAAGGCTGCTAGCCATCATGGCCACGTGCTCTTTTGTTCTCTCCTGTGCCAAGCATGTTAGCAACTACACGGGAGCTGCTCAAAAAGGTTGGTTAAAAAAATAATAATAATTTATAAATTATCAAGGGTTCATGAGGGAGGGGGGAGCACGGAAGGAAAGGGGGAAAATGAGGAGCTCAAGTGGAGAGCAAATGTTTTGAGAACGATGATGGCAACAAATGTACAAATGTGCTTGACACCATGGATGCATGGATGTAATAAGAGTTGCATGGGCCCCCAATAAAATGATTTAAAGAAATAAGAATACAACTAAAAATAAAATAAAATGCAAAAACAACAACAAGAAACAAAAAAGGTTGGTTAAATAAGTGCATCATTGGTATATCAGGACTTTCGAAGAGCAGCAGCATTTCCATCTGCTGTGTATGGGGTCGCAGTACGTCCACGTCAGCTAACAACACATAAAGGCTAATATTATGAATAAACCCAGAACCCCAAACTCACTGCCAGCAAATCTAAGCTGACTCGTAGCAACCCTATGGGGCAGGGTGGAACTGCCCCTGGGAGTGTCCAAGACTCTAACTTGGGAAGGGAGTGGAAAGCCCCTTCTTACTCCTTTGGAGCAGGCTGTGGTTTCCAACTGGGGACCTGGCCATTGGAGGCCAACGTCTCATCGCTAGGCCGCCAGGGCTCTGATATATGAAAGAATATGGTCAGGATTGTGCTTCGTATCAGTTGCCTGTCGGAAGACATTTTTCCAAGGTGAAGTGTCACTAAAATATCCCACTCTGCTTTTTAACCCACTGCCCAAGCCCCACTCGCTGCATAGCACTTGTGTTCCTTCATAAGAAACCCCAAGTCTGGCTGTAAATGGGATCTCCCTGTGGACCAGGGCTTGGTTTTGCCCAGAGCTATAGCCCTGTAGCTCTGCAGCAAGAGCTTTGCACTTGATGAATGAATGACCTTGAACCCTCAGCACTGTGCAATGCATTCAGCTAATGTTTACTGAATGAGTAAGTGATTAAGCTTTCTCTTTCTGATGCCCCTTCTAATATTCTCAACGGAAACAGAGTGGTTCAGAGGGCAAGCCCTGGAGTCAGAGGACCTGGGTGTGAATCCTGACCCTTCTACTTGGCAGTTGGCTGATGTAAATGAGCCCCGGAATCTCTCTGTGCTTTGGCTTTCTCACCTGTGGAATGCGAATGATAAAATTTCTAATTGGATTGCATAATTCATTTTAGATATACATAATATGTTTAGCAGAAGGTCTAAACCAAACTCACTG